AACTTAATCGTTAAGATTATAATTCGTGAAATATTTAATAAGTTATTTAATACTATAAAAATTGTAAGAAAATTATATTAATAAATAACTGTACAGTGAATAAAATTGTTTTTTCTCTTTACTACTAAAGTTATTTTTTGTTATGCAACAGAAATGAAGAAAATAATAAACAGCTGCTAGATCCTCATTTGTGGAATGAAGAAGAAGAAAATGAAGATCGAGAGTCTTCAATAGTATGTAATTCAAAAAAAACTTTTACTTTTAAATATTGATTTTTTTAAATTTTTATAAGTATTAGAGATTGTTTTTAGGAATTATCTGTTTCTGGATTAGGTATGTCAGTATAACCAGAAGTGTTGTGAGAAAGAGATTCCATTATTAAATATAGATATCAAAATTAATTCTACCTGAAGAAGATTCTGAGACAGCAACAGCTAAATCATCAGTAATCAGTAACATTGCCCCCCCTTCCAGCATTAAGTCTGCAGGCTTACTGCACTTAAAAATCAGGTTTCAATACCTGTGATAAGCAGAGCACAGGCAGCCCACTGTGTGGCTCTGATGTTTAACAACAACCAAACCAGTCAACAACATCACAGCTCAAATCACCTGTCTTACAAGATTACTTACATGTGGTTCTTACTTTGTGTGGCAATCAGTTTGCAATTTTGGTTTGAACCTGACCTTAACTTATCTAAAGAAACTTGTTTTCAATTACAATTAAAGGCAAACAAAAAAAATAAACCAACAGAATTTTTTTGAAGATTTATGCCAAAGGAGTATTAATTCAGGTGTAACCAAAACAAATCCAATTAGCCTAAAGTAACATGAGCTTTTCATTGAGGGAAGTATTGATTAATAGAAAGTAGAAATAAAACCTCCCAAAAATTTATATATATATATATATATTTTTTTTTAAGTATTTTACAATTTTATAATGCAAAAAAGGTGTATAGTGTTTATGAATATCTTTGAAGTGAAAAGAAAGAATGAAAATTGTCAAGAATTTGATGACGAGGAACTCACTTTGAGACAATGTAGACTTGTTACTATATTAAACCTGTAATAAAGTTTTCTTCATTACCCATTCAAGCATACTTCGAACTTTATAGTCAAGAGTTGTGAATCTTGTTTTATATTTTCATTGATGATTATTGTTTAAAAACTTGAGTTACTTTAACTTTTTTTGTTTGGTTTTTGTATGTATGTCTGTCGCATAGAATGTAGCCTGTGTTACGTAGTTAAAGTCTGATACTTGTGATTGTAGGAAAGCTATTGGTTGTGAGAGTAATCTTAGAAAATTAAATAAATCGTAAAGCTATATTTAAACTTTTCAAGTCACATTGAAATGTCACATGAAATAAAGTTGCCAATTTTTTTTTCCATTTGTAAAGGAATTCAAGAGGAAGAGAAAAGAAAAAGAAAGAAAAAAAAGGGAGCGATTAAAATCCAAGTCACAGGAGTTTTGTAAGAAAGAGTTTGAGAGCAAGAAAACGGATTGCTCTGAATATGAAATACAGACTCCTGACCAAAAAAATAGCAGTGTGGATGAAAAAGCCAGTGAAAATAACAAAAAGGTAATATTCTATTTTCACAGTTCTTGAGGTTTTGATTTTTCTTTTGCCAGGTCTTTACTATTTTATTAGTATAGCATTTACAGCAAATTGACAATTTGGCATTATCCATTAAGGGTTATGTAGGTGTTTTACAAAACATAACCATGAATATCTAGTAAAATATAACCTTTTGTTTTTTTGAGAGATCACAGTTGTTAGTTATTTTAAAGTAGAATTTATCTGTTTGAAATAAATATTGTCACCTCTGTAATCACTGTATTAGCATTATTTTACTTCCATGAGAACTTGGTACTAATTACTATGAACACAAACTACTGTAAAAAAGTAAATATAATTCACGTTTTAGAAACTGGTGGGTTGATAATAATGTGTAGTGCCTGGCATGGCCAGGTGGCTAGGGCACTCGACTCGCAATATGTGGGTCGTGGGTTCGATTCTCCGTCACACCAAACATGCTTGCCCTTTCAGCCTTGGAGGCATTATAATGTAACGTTCAATCGCGTTATTCGTTGGTAAAAGAGTAGCCCAAGATTTGGCG